ATTCCAAAGAGATACTTGAAATCACTATCCATACTCCTGAAAAAAAAATTCTGAAAAAGATAATGTAAAAATAATTGACAAACCACTCAACTTTACCTGAAAAAACTTGGCCCGATGTTTTGCCATGAATATTGAAGGAACCAAAAGAGCATATAGTTTTTCATAGAAGTTTGGATACTCTAAACCATATTTTGTCATAAGGAGGAAGAGGCTGCTAAGAGCCATAACACTGACAACACCACCCATATCATAGGATTTTGTTAAGAAGTCACTGCATTTTGTTAGGTAACAGATGTGTTAAATGAAAAATACAAGCTTTAATTGTAAGGGAGAACATACAAGCCACACTATCACTAACCATAATATGATTGGATTAGAAAGATAAGGAATGACTTCCTGATCAAGAATTACAAGAACCTGAGTAGCAAAAGGAAGAGCAAAATAATATTAGATGCCAACAAATCCCAAAAAAGCCAAAAAAGAATTAACATGTGAAGACAATGGGAATGGAAGGTTGCTACACAGACGACTGTAAAAGATTTTCGAAACAAACAAACCATGTATTTATGAATAACAAGTAGTTGAAGAAAAAGACAACAAAATGGTATAGATGAACTTTACAGTATACATACAATGGTACAAGAAGTATCTGTGCAGAAACACAGAGAAACTAGGATAATAAAGGACGTGAGAAAAGTAAATATACAATTTCATACCTAAGTTAGATGGGATCAATCACAATAAGTTTGCAAAAGATCGGCAGGATTTTCTTTTTAGGCCTAATCTCAGACAATAAAGCTAGAAAATAGTTACCGTTGAGGTGGTTTTCTGAAAATTAATTTTTTAGAGTTGTTTTATGAAAATGCATTATACAAAAATGAATTCTTATATTATTTCATGCACTACAATGTTCTTGAGCCCATTGGCACGACTTATGTTTTAAGTATGATATATTATTTTCCATCTGGCTTAAAGGTAAAATGAGATGTAAAATTGTTTCCAGAAACAATATTGACTTTCCAAGAAGTCGAGTCATCGATAACAGGGATCAGAAGCATGATATGCTGACCAATTTTCTAATAACGAATGCTTTTATACAAAGCCAAAAATAAAAATGAGAGTGGTTACCTCCTTGTACACATCAATTGGAAGCGGTAACCTAAGAAATGAAATCCATGCTTTTGTAAATTTTGGTTTCATTTTTCTTACAATCCTTGATGCCGATAAGACCTGAAGGATGTTGTCGATAATGTTCTTAAAAGGAGGAATAATGATAGAATTTAATGTAGCCAATCCAAGACCGAATAGAGAGAAAGAAAAAACAGATACAGAATGAACTATCTGTAAGGACCTCTTCATCATTTTTCCTCATCTTTAGCTGCTTTGCTTCTTGATTGTCAGAGAGCACTTTGTCATCACCTTTAATTGGAAAAATAACGACTTTAGCAAAAACTCTGGTCCATAAAAGGAGTGCTGACAGTAAATGCCAAAGATAATTGCGCTCAATGGCATGACTCTTTAATTCATAAAAATGTAAATTTAGAACCTTGAACAACAGTTCTTAAATCGTCTTTTACAGTTCTTAAAAATGTCATTGATTAAATGAAATAAACAAAAGGGTATGCTAAAATTTCTCCAGCTGGATAAAATAGCCTCTTTATTAGATATTACAGGGAAGTTTCCTAGTCCTTGATTCACACTCACTGTTTTGCAATGCAATAAATAATCATTTTGGCCATTTGGCTGGAAGGCCCCTTAACAACAGTCATTTATGGAATGCAGCACGAGGGTTCAAACATAAAAATAAGTGATTCCAGGTACAAATTTGTTTAAAAAGATGAGAAGAAATAACCTAAAAATTCAATTACTCAAATGGGCCCAAGTACAAGATTGAAAGTTTGGCCTGCCATGGCCATTTTGGAAATTCCTCGTTTTAAATTGGAGCTCATAATGCCATTTCTATGCCCAAACTAAATTAAAAGTCAATATGAAACTAGGAAAGTTTCATTACGTCTCCACAAAATTCCAGCCCTTGTAAAAAAGTAACCAAACAAGATTATCAAAACGCCCTTCAAGAAGGTTAGAGATGCTAAACTCGACATGTTAAGAAATCAAGATTTATGCATGCAGTTAGAAGGATAGGAAATTATGTAGCTAACTGTATTACAAAAGGAGACTGTGTGAACAACTAACTTTTACACGCTGATTTAAAATGGACGGTATCAACAACCAAACATAAATGAAATCAATGGAAATTACCTGATTCAACCCACATAGTGTAGTCAGATTGATTTGAGTTTTCTAAAGGGGGAATGGAGGATATGATAGAGTGCACAATGTGTATGAACTCCACTCTGCATGGAAAAAGGTAAAGTCCATGTATTCAATACAAGCGTTACAAGAGATGAAACAATATTTAAAAAGACTTCATAACCCAAATGCCTTAAATTATTTTTCAATGGGGATGATGCAAAGCACAAAATTGTTGTTCAAGGTGATTAAAAAATATTTCTTGAGATCTAAATATCGTATAACCGACAAAGAATTGAAGAAATTACACTTCTATGAAATTAACAAACTAATGTGCGTAACATGTCCTAAATGTCAGGTGTTCGAACCCCCACTCCCAAATGTCAGGATTTTCCCCATTCCGTTAGACAAAGTACACCAACTCCCTCCCTCATCATATATAGGAATAACTATAATCTTAATGTATTTCAATTTCAAGAAAAAAAAAAAAAAACCCGAGCATAAATATAAGTATAATGATTAGAGATTGAACATTTACCCTTCTCTTGAATGATCACCATCATCGCCATTAATCCTCACACTTCTATCACCTACAAGAAGAAAGTGGTTTCAGTGACGAAGCAATCAGAAAATAAAAATAACAAAATGTCAAGTAATATGTGCGAGATAATACCAGACATGTACTCAGCCTCAAAAGTCCTCGTGAGTTTTTCGATGCTAATATATGTAAAATAACTGCAAAACAGAGTGGCAGGTGAAAATGGGTCTCTTAGGCATTCTAAAGCATGTCTCTCTTAACCAAGAATCTTAGACGTGAAATTTTCGACAAGAAAATTGGGGTAAAAACAAAGGCATGCATTCTTTTATGGAATAGAAAGCAATAATTTAGGGAAAACGAGGCAATATACAAAGCTAAAGAGGATAGAAATAAACTTTAAAATGAATCCCAGTCAGTCAGTACTCAAGGAGCTGAAGGAAAATATTTTTGAACCTTAAACTGGAAAACGTAAACTTTATAGTGACATGTAGGCCCGGGATGGTAAGGGTGAAGAAGAAAAAGAAGAAGAAGAAGAAAAACATACCGGACATCGAGGTGATTGAAGTACTTCTTGACAAGCAAGGCTATCAGAGTATTAACTGGAGCCGAAGAATGAGCCTACAAGCAAGAACAAAGGTTAAAATGCACAGCTATAGTACAATCAGCAACGCATAATCTGGCAATGGACGATAGCCAAGCAACTTACAATACTCTGTAGAAACCTGTGATATACAGCAGAGTGGAATTTTCCCCTGTTACCAACTTTAACAAACTCCATAATCGCATCCAACACAATTTCCTAAAACACGCATTACAATAGAATAAGGAAAACGCACAATTAAACAAAATCACCAAACCCAAAACAAAGCAGATAATAAACAACACAACGATTTGAAAAGCAACGAAAGGCCACCTTGAGAGTATCGTCGCATTCAGAAGAGACCGCAACATCGATGAGCGACTTAACGAGTTCATCGAACTTGGAACGTAGCCAGGTCCGGTAAATCAACTCGGCGTCGTCCTGAACATCGGCGGCAGGCTTGGAGGAGGAAGGGAGGGAGGGGAGGACCGTGATGAAAAAGGACTGGAGGGAGAGAAGGGCTTCGAGGACATATTGAGGAGGTTTAGAAGGAGAAACGAAGGTGAGAAGCAGAGGGAGGTTGTTGATGTGAGCTTGAGAGGAGAGAAGTTGGAGTCCTAGGGTTTTGAGGTCGGAAAGCTTGTGATTCTTTTCATTCTTCTTCTTCTTCTTCTCGTTCTGATTCAGTGAGGGAAGGGACGCCATTGCAGCTCCTGTGAAAAAGCTTTCGGCGGGAACAGAACTGTGTCAGAGCCTTTGGTAGAACACAGCTCTGGTTAGGTTTTTGAACTGAAAGAGTTGACCCGTTTGTGTGTTGGGGCGTGGTACTCCTTTCCTGGATAAGACTTTATACCTAAACCGGAATATGATATCCTTCGCGCTCTTTTTTTATTTTTATTTTTTTGGGAAAATTATACTCTCTTGTATTTAGTTGTTTGAGTTTCGAAATTCAATTATTTAAGTTTACTTTTGTTTTTATTTTTTCACTTATTTAAGTTGTTTGAGTTTAATTTTAAAATATTTAATTGTGATAAATTTTATTTAATTGTACGTAACAATATCATAATTTTAATGATAATACATATTTTATATCAATTAAGCTATGTTCATTTTAACAATAGTGATATATTTTCTACTTCAAAACTATAAATTTTACTTACTCATTTAACACATTAGATATTTTTCCACAACTTTACGCAAAGTACAAATTACAAATTTACTTGAGTTCATATAGATGCCTCGATTTCCGAACAACCTACATAAGGTACCTAATAAATAGACCAACCATTTCAAAAAAAAATATTGACTACAAATATCGTGCATTGTTTTAGACTAAATTATAAAATGACCCTTTTAATCTTTTCATTTGTTAACAAAAAAGTTATGATATGGCAATTAGATGTCAAACATAAATGAGAATTTAGAACGATGTGGGAATGAACTAAAACAGAATTTTGGATTGCATTTTCGTTTTAGATCTCCTCCACAACATTCTCTCAGTCTCAATTCAAATCAATTTACACTCTAATGGTAGTTTTAAAACGTTTAATATTATAATGTTGGAAAGAATACAAATTTCCCTCTACTATTTAACCATATTTCAATAAAGTCAAGGCAAACAACTAAAAAACCTGCCCAAACCAACATTTGAGTTATAAACCAAGAAAAACCTGTTGTAAGAGTATGAATGTTGGACAAAGCAAAGCAAAAAAGAATTGTATGATCTTCAAGTTACAATCCCTTTCAGATTCAAGCAACACCAGCGTGCCAACAAAGAAGGCTCAGATTTAAGTTGGAACCTACAGAATAAGAATGCATCTGTGTTCTGTTCTATCTCTCTTATTTTGCAGTAGTGAGAACTTGCCAAAACCCCACCACACCTTGAAAGAAACGTTTGAATTGACATCTAGATATGAAGCTGACTATACCTTAACATGCTAATTTTCAACAGCAACTTCACCTAATCAAATTAAAATACTAACAAATTTAGCCAAAAGGACATTTTTTTCTTGCCTGAAACCAGCAGCACGTTTGCCATCGTCCCCGAGAAAAAAGCCAACCAGTGGAACGCGAAGAATTTGCCTATGCAGTAAGTTGAGAATGGGCTGTTAGAGAAGTTCACGAGATCGAATAATTAGTAGGTCGACCGTGCTCTGTGTCTGCGTGGAGTGGAGAGGTAACACGGCTTTAATACTCGGTCGAGTTATGGAGACAAAAACCGTTAACCTTAAATCTATGCAATTTGCTAACTGAACTCAAACTTGGTACATTATCAGATTGTTAAATTTAGGAAGCTTTTGTAGCATTGCATTAGAGTGAAACTAAAAGGAATTGCATCGTCCCTGGGGTTTCTTCGAACAAGGTTACACGGTGGAAAACTAGGCTGGTTGTAGATAGGAGATTACTGACCTCATATATCCATGCGTGCTTTATATTCCCAAACGCTTGAGAGAATCTGGGCCAACCAGGAATATACGCCTTCGTGTTTGGTGCCTAAAAACCACCACTCCTTTATACGCGGTCCTTGGAATACCATCCTAGGAAACGAAAGAAGAACATGAGATAGCTTTTAATTAACAAATGTATTCAAGTTACAAATTTAGTCCCAAGATGATCTTGTGTCTATTAGGTTTGTAGACTTAGGTTTTGTGTTTAATAGGTCTTTATACTTTAGAAGTGTGAAATAGGTTTCTAAACTTCCAATTTTATGCATGGACATATTTGACATTTATAAAGTTCACAAAATTGCATTTTGTGTAATAGAGTCCTAACATTTCAACTTTGTATCTATAATTACGTAAATTTTAAAAATAAATGTCAATTAAGAATAGACCTATTAAACAAAAGTTAAGAGATCAAAAGTTTAAGAGTTTTGAGACAAAACTTATAATTCAACCAAAGGAAAATTAAAATATCCAATTCCAACCACTTCGAGAGGCTTGGACTTTTCCAGCAAGACTCTAAAAAACTTCTACATATTTCCAAACCCTAATTCACCCTATTTATATCACTTTTCACTAGCCAACTTCGAATATGCTCTTCTAATATCCTAGTAACATGCCTGATAATTCCCTACAAAACTCCTAATAGGAAGCATTTCATTTGGCCACAAAGAAATTGCAGAGATGGAAAGGTGGCGGACAATTACCTTCCACTCTTCAAAAATACCAAACTGACGAGCAATGTGTTCAAAGTCTGATTGGTCTCGGTACTCAATTCGAACATCACCCGCAACATTAAAAGCCTTCATAACTGCATCATTTCCATAAACCGGTTTTGCTTTTTTAACAGCATCTGCAAAGTGCTTCACGTATTTGTCCTACAAAAAGGAATAACAATTAGTGATAGTTTTTTTTTTTTTTTTTTTTTTTTAATTCATTTCAAATACATAAGCATGCACATTACCTCCATCAGGTAGCCCAAATCCATAGACATCCAGTCGATCTATATCAAGCAAAAGATAAAAACTTTAAATTCAGTTTCAATTTCGACTGAATGACAGCGAGAAGACCATACAGAGCTTACTTGAACGTCGTTCAACTTGATTGGCTCAAGGTATTGCTTGAAAAATTGACCCATACTGGAACCCTGCAAAGGATCCAGGCATTCAGAAAGACTGGCGTGAAAAATGCAGAATGTATAGGAAAGTCGTCATGACTCGTGAATGTTAAATTAAAATACATTTATCCTCTCCTCGTGGCTCAAAGGAAGTGAATAAGTGAAAAGTTACTTACATGCTCACCAAAATTATATGTTCTGCACACTTCTGGACGAATAAATTGGCGACCTTTGTGATTCTCCTTCAACCTCAACCAGTCATCCCAATAAGTTTAATTTTGTCAAAGAAACAGTTTTAGGGAAAGCTTACCATACTACAGATCATTTTGAACCAGATTCATAACTAAACTAAAAGTAAAGGATATGCCTTGGGCCACTTCGGTGATAGTTCATCCCAAATAGACTTGGTTAACATCCAACCAAGTCCTGGAAAGAAATCTGAGCGATACAGTAAATCTGCAGGGCATATGAAGGTGGATACAAATAAGGCAATTCACTAAAGATTGAAATGTAATCAAATTGATAAATGACAGGCAACCAAGTTATCATAGAAAATCTTGATGAGAGTGAACTTTAGTAGCTTGCATTATTTAATTGACTGGTAATCTATCTTTAATACCGCTAAGAGTTCAAGCTACTGAAGTGTTCTAATTTTCCAAAAGCTTTCTGGCAAATAAAATTTATTCCCAAGTGGAATCCAGTTCATTTTTTGGCCTAGACGTCTTTTCTTTTTTGCTTCTTGTTGATTCCAAAGAATGGAATATCTTGGGCTCCCATTCATAGTGTGTCCTTTTGGAATCAAGTGTTGGAAAAGGCTAAAAAGCGGCTGTTTTGCTGGGGGGGCTTTATTTTCTATGGGTATGGCTAACTCTCATTCAGTCGATCTTAGGTGGAATACCAACATACTTCAGTTCTGTATTTAGAATACTGGTAGCAGTGAGCAAGAGCAAGAGCATAGAGCGTTATGAGGAATTTTTTATGGGAGGGGGAGGACAAGGGAGGTGGTTTGCATCTGGTTAATTGGGAGGTGGTCTCAAAACCGTTGGAGTTGGTAGTTTAGGCATTATGAACTCAAGACGTAGAAATGAAGCTTGGCTAAGTGGTTAATGCAGTTCTTGGAAACCAACGCTTTGTAAAAGCTTATAGTGAGCAGATATGGTCCATGTGTGTTTTTTTTTTTTTTTTTTTTTTTTTTTTT